TTCTATTCTATTATTTTCTATTCTATTTTATTATTTTCAATTCTATTATATTCTATTATTTTCTATTCTATTCTATTCTATTCTATTCTATTCTATTCTATTCTATTTTTTGTATTCTATTCTATTCTTTTCTATTCTATTATTTTCTATTCTATTCAATTCTATTAAATTATACTGTTTTCTATTCTATTCTATTATTTTCTATTCTATTCTATTATTTTCTACTCTATTTTATTATTTTCTATTCTATTCTATTCTATTCTATTCTATTATTTTCTATTATATTTTATTATTTTCTATTCTATTCTATTCTATTCTATTCTATTCTATTCTATTCTATTCTATTCTATTCTATTCTATTCTATTCTATTCTATTCTGTTCTGTATTTGTGTCCAGCGATCCAAAGTGTTTCCACTGAATTTTTTTGCAAAAAAACTTTGCTTCCATTGCAGCAAATAAAAGTTACATAAGTACAACCTGTGGCAATCACACTAGGTCAATATCTGTAAAGTTGACCGAGTTGGAGCCACATTAGTGTTGCTGATGTCGCGGCCATCTTGACTTGAATCAACTCAATATGTTTTTCAATTGTAGATGTACATCTGATGACTTTCTGAAAGCTTAATTTAAATCTAATCATTAAAAAAAATTCTTTATATTGTGGTTTTTCTTTTCAAAACAGAAAAAAAAAATGCAAGCAAAGAACAACAGCTCAAACAACGAACTTCAGAGGGTGACAGATACATCGCTGCACTATATTAATGTTACGTATTTGTATTCCAATGATTTATAACAGACTGCCAAGTTGAGTTAAACATGTCTGCTTTTCTCTTTAATAAATATTTAATTTTCTCCCATTTTAAATGTCCCATTATGTATTTCATTACAGCCCGGTGAGAGGGTGGTGTTTTCTGTTTCCAACATAACAAAACCAGCCTCCGTGCCATCAAGGTCACAAAACGAATCATTCTGGCCTGGGTATCTGACAGTTGTACATCCACCGGCCCCACACCAAACACAGCTCAAATTGGATCTGGCTTGAGCTTTTTTCTCAAAATGTAAGCATAGTTTTATAAAATATTTTAACCGAGAGACAGAGTTAACTCTAATATTCGTGGGCAAAGTTTTGAAACAGATCTAATGTGCTCTCAGAGTACCGTACTTTCCGCCGTAGACGTTGCACCGCCGTATAAGTCACATCAGTCCAAATACGTTTAATAAAGTGGAAACAAACATAAATAAGTCGCTTCGCTGTGTAAGTCGCATCTATTATGCGTCACTGCTGACCACCTGGAAACATGTTGTGCCAAAAATCGATTGGCTGCCAAATGGCTGCCGCGAGAGCGTGCACGGGAGAACTTTAACTAGAATTTAATAAGATTAACACTTCAAAACAATTATTTGTTTCTCAAAATTATAGCAAAGGTGTGTCTCAGTCTAACTTTTCCTTAATAAATGCACTTTAATGGTCAAATCAGCTGCATTTCAAAAGCCGATTCGCGGCTGTGGGAGCGCGAAGAGGGAGGACTCGCTGTGCATTTCTTTGAAATTTACCAAGATAACCACCTAAAAACAATTATTTGTTTGTTTGACATTTTAATTTAACGGTCAAATCAGCTGCATTTCACCTGGGCGGCGCGGCGAAATGCGGCTGATTTGACGTTTGTTTCAGGAGTTCCTGAGCGAGATGAAGGTGGCTTAGTATGGCAAGCCAAGTGTCTCATTAATAGCCACTTTAACCTATTAATGAGACACTTGGCTTGCCATATTGCTCAAGGGCCCTCTAGTGGCTGAAAATGGTAGTGTTCAATATTTTCCATGTCAGAATGAATGAAATCGTCAGATATCAGCCAAAAATTGGTTTATAAATATGGAAAAAAACGTATATTAGTCGTTTCAGTGTATAAGTCGCAGGACTTGCAAATTTATGTAAAAAGATGTGATTTATATGGCTAAAAATAAAATATGTGTTGGAGATCAGTCTCACCTGCTACTACACCAACTCCTAGGTCAATATCTGTATAATTTGTTGAGCCTCATAAGCATGTTTGTGTTTGCTAAGGTTGCTTAACTGTGGTGGCCATCTTGAATAGAGTTTACTCCAAAAGTTAATCAGTTGTACATGTCCATCCAATGATTACTTTCTGGGTTTCACTAAAATCCACCCACTGGCTCATGATATAAGTTTCTGTGCAAACATACTGCACACGTATCTGTTTTCATGCAGTTGTGTGTGTGCATAAAAACTCGTTACTGAGAGGAGTTCTAGGCAGAAAAGAACGGTAATTATATTTTCATCATTTCAAATCCTGTCTGATATTTTTCAAAGCTACAACAGATACAGTGTGGTTGGCACATTCATGCAATTTGTTTCCCGTTTCATTCCTTTGTTTTGCCTCAGTGTTACTTCTTATCACTTTGCAACGTGCAAATCTTATGAAAGGAAAGCTCTGCTTCTCAGTTGGTGTATTTCTTTTGTCTGCGTGCAGAAAAATGAAGTTAGTAAAATAACGCAACACAAACTTCGGCTTGCAACATTGCAGCCTATTTTAGTTTTTATCTGCTTGATCTTATTTCTGTATTTTTTTAATTTTATTATCTGTAATTGCCACGCTAAAATAGAGTTACAGAGAAAAGTTTAAATATACATTTCTATACCTTTTTAGTTCCATACATGACTTCAAGGAAATGCTGCTCTGCATCCTGGAACTTCTGGTCTAAGACAGAAACCATCTTCCTCACCACCTTCATTATCATGTAGTTGTTGAGAAGGCTGCAAGAGACAACATCAAAATGCTTTTTGCACTGCCTTTAATGCAGACTGAACACAAACCTACTGGCCTTTCAGTTCAATGATTTGTGTGTATGCAGTTTTGTTTTTTGAATATCAATGAAAAACGAATAAAATGACCTATTACTTCACCTTTTATTTGTGGTAGCTATGATGTCAGACACTTTCTGGAGGTATTCTTTGGCATACACAACCACAGGCTCTGACTCGTTTATCGGCACTGGTGTGAATACTTCGGAGAGATAAGGCATCCAGTCCACTGCAGGAGCCAGAGTCTGGAAAGGCAAAAGATAAAATCCCCCCAAAACATGCAGAAGTCACACAGTGGGGAAAAAGTTTGTGGTTTTCTTGTGCTGTTTTTGTATTAATCTACACATTTTTCAGCTTCACTCACTTCTATTTACTACAATGCATCAAACACAATAAAAAAAGTGTTTTGTAGAGCTATGGATAACCGTGGCTGCTTTTCAAGCTGACAGTGACTCACTTTCAGGTCTTTGGCCTCTATTTTATGATAAATGAGCTCCTCATCTCTTCTCTCCTCCTGAGGCACGGTGATGTTGGCAAGTGTGGTTTCAAAGTCCACGATCTCTGTCATCAACGTCCGAGACGTCTCCGCTGAGCCCCCCAGGAGAACACCTAACTCCACAAGGAAGTTGAGGTATGCTGTCAGATACTGTGAAGAGGCAGACAGTGGATATGTAGTTGAGGTTTGTGTGTATAAATAAATGCAACTTCAACAGTAATTCTGAACTATGCAGCTACACACTTTTATACAGTTTCCTTCCTGAAGCTGAAATATCTTCTCTTGATAAAGATATATATATATATATTTTTTTTCATAACAGTTTCTATAGTTACCTATCAAAGCATTAAACTCATTCAGGATATTAGGGCTCTGGCTTTTGTTTTTGATACTTTCATGCTTTTCAAAAGATTAAACTTTATTTACAAATATTTTCCCACTGTAATAAACTTTGCAATAGTTGCTCAGAAACATTGTTGTCTTTGAAATCTGCTTCAGCAAACTTGCTCTGTTTTTGTCGTTTTATGCTACTTTTAGCTTTCAGCTAGTGCTCTACTTTCTTTATGTAGTGTTTTGTTATTTTTAGGTACATTTGGTACACATTTTATATTTTAGATGCACAATTGCTCCAGCATCAACGTGTGGCACGGAGGCTGCACAGCTGCAGAAAGAAAAGCTCTGCAGAGAGTGGTGAAGGCTGCACAGAAGTCTGTTCGTGTCAGTCTCCACACCATCACAGACGTCTACACCTCCAGATGCAGGAAGAGGGCCACCTGCATTATGAAGGACCACACTCACCCAGCACACACACACTTTTTGCCCCACTCCCCTCAGGCAGGAGGTTGAAGAGCATTAAGTGTAGAACCACTAGACTGAAGAACAGCTTCTACCCTGAGGCTGTTAGACTCATAAACCCCTAACCAGGATAATCAGTGTTAAATTTTTTTTTAAATAAAATCACTGTAATGCCACTTTAATTGGTGATATGTGACTTATCTGTGCTGCTGATTATCCATGCTGCTGATCTCTTGCCCTTATGCTGCTGTATTCATACCCATCTGCTCACTGCAGACTCATGTTCGTGCTGCTGTTTCATACACCGTATTATTTTATGTTATTAGTTCCTAGCATATATCTTAGATCCTTATATACTGTTTAATTTTATACCGTATTTTTTAGCTAGTTTTGGGTGTAACTGGGAGCTTGAGTACACAATTTTGTTCCGCCTCATGTACAACATGTGATGGATCAACAATAAAGAAACTTGAACCTTCATTTAGGCACTGTTTTGCTTTTAACAAGCATGTTACTTCCTTGACTTTTTAGCTAACGTTCTGCTTCTTTTAGCTTTAACAGTTCAGTTTCGGCTTTTTCAGTGAATTTCAGCAGTCGTGCAACACATTCGTTTTCACAGAAAATGCACGTTATCTGTTTTTTTTTTTTTTTTCTGAATAAATAAACTTTTTAATTCAACATCTAGGTGAATTAAAAATACCTTATCATTTGCTGTTTTGTTGAGGTAGTAATCCCGTGAGGGTAGTCCCAGGCTGGACTGATCCACCTACAGGTAAGAGACATATTTGATGAGTTTCTGCCCCCTCCATGACATTCACACACAATCTGTTGTTTTCATTCATGTGTTGTGAGCATGTGGGATAAAAGCACAGACTTCCAAATGTCTGTCTCATGACATAAAATAAAGAATCCGTCTAGAGAAGCCACTGTGGCAAAAAGGTAATCAACTATTTTTTTAAATCAAACGGGATAATTTTTAGACACACACGGCTTTATTTAAATAAATACGTACAATAATTTTTAAAAAAATAATGAAGCGTACCTGTATGATGTTACTGCTGGAGTTTTTGGAGTCCGTGCTGACAAACACCGTGAAGAAAGGAGAAGTGCGTAAACTGGCTGAGACCGTCCGGAGAACTTGTTGGAAGTTGTTTTTGTCCCAGGGTTCAGTCAGAGCCCAGCCTCCTATCTGAAGCAGACAGGAGGAATTACACAAAAACTTAGCGATGCTCAGACATTTTAATGGACATAAAATATTAAGATTGTGAATTAGTTTGAAGTTTGACTGCTTGTAAAACAGCACACCTGGGTGATTAGCTGCTGTAGAGGCTTAGCTCCTAATTCCTCGATCTTAGTCTCATTCATGCAGGCCTGATAATATCGCTGGGATTTTTCTTCAGCCTTGCTTAAACCCTTTAATGTTGTGTTTTCTGCTCAAGTAGAGATATGAGATAAACAAGGTCACTGGGGGAAACGCAGGCCTTGGAAAATGTGCTGAGAAAAGGCACAGTGAGTCTCTGCCCAGGGTTAAAGACTGTTACCTAATAAACGCTTCATTACAAGCATATTGTGTTCCCACAGGTTGCTGAAAGGTCCCCAGCGGGACTTCCCCTCCGGGAGAGGGTTGTTCTTCACCCAGCCCCCACAAGCAAAGTTGTAGAAGTCATGGCAGGGGTCTACAGTCCTGTCCAGGGCTCCCATGACCGAACCAGCTATGGTAATGCACGGTTCCTGTAGGCACAAGCCTGGGTTTGCTGCAACAAACATACACAAAAAATGAGAACGTCTTGAAATTGTATTACCTACTTTATCAGTAAATGGGAAACAGAGCGGAGAATCTGAAAATATTTCATGGGAAGACAAATATGCACGAGGGTTTTAGAGCATCTGGAAAGCATCATTTTGTAAGCCAAGGCATACAACCTGGAGGGAATACTTGTCCCTGGAAAAATCCTTTATAAACAGTTAGCTGAACTCTGTCAGGGGGAGATGTCACGTTCCGATTTCAGAGAATTGTTATGCATTTACTTAATAAAATAAATAAAAACTGTGTGGGCAGCACAGTGGAACAGTGATAAGCGTTTAGGCCTCACGGCAAGAAAGTAAAAAAATTGCATCCAGCTGGTTTATGGGTGGAGTTTGCACGTTCTCCCTGTTCTTATGTAGGTTTTCATTCATGTTAGGTTAATTAATAACTCTAAATTGTCTCTAGGTGTGTGAAAGAGTAAACAATTGTTTGTCTCTGTGTAGTCCTCTGATGGACTTGCAACCTGTCCAGGGTGTACCTCGTCTCTTGCACAGTGACTGATGTAGCTAGGCACCAGCGCCCCAGGACACGGAAAGGTGAAAGCGAGTAAAGAAAATGGAAGGATGGATGGAAAATTAACAGTAGAGGAGAAAAGACTGAAGGGGAAATGATCTAAACATGTCAGGACTACAGAAAAATGTGGTTTACTTTTACAGCAGTAAGTTGATTGGTACATAAAGGTTTTGCTAGCTCCTAAATATTCAAATATTAAATGATCTATATGGTGTTTTGTCCTGGTTGACATGAAAAGGAAGCAGGAGGAATGCAAAGAACAAGAGTTTTACAAAACTTTCAATGTTTAGAGAAGTGAAAGTATTAGTCACTACAAAGTACAAAAGTCCCTGTAACGCATGAGACAGAAATAGAAACCAAATTTTGAGCAGTGATGAGGTTAGTATTTCCCCGAGGAGATTTCATCCTTGTTCCTTGTTATTTCAAAGTATGAGCTGACATGCGATGCTGAATGGGAGGAAGGGGCATTCAGTTTCCCATGTTAAAAACGAGGAAGCAAACACTGATGGGAAGCAACCAGGATGTCATGGTAAATCCAGAAGTGCTTTTCCATCATGAACAGGCTCAAGAGAGACATTTATGGATGTTTGCAGGCAGCTTGGCTGAAGCTGTGACCTCAAAGACACGAACAAGAAATGCATGAGTTACATTAAAATGTTTAATTTTTGTTTTGATTGTTTTAAATTGATTATATGTTGCATGTTTTTATATTCAGTGACGTTGAAACAACTGGGATACTACAGAAAAAATATATTCTAACATGTAATCATCTCCGTCATACACAAAATAGGCAGTAAGGGTTTGTGCTTTTTGAGCCAAAAACATATTTTCAATTGTAAATGAATTTAAAAAAAAGTGGACATAAAAAAAAAAAAAAAGATGTGCGAGCATTTGGAGGACAACTTAATTTCTAAAGATGGTTAAAAAATACTTTGTTTTTTTCTAATCATCGCTTTGTATTTAGTTATATGCATATCTGTATGTATAATTGTGAATATATATGCATATGTGTAGGTATATATATGTATATATATATTTTACATATATACATATATATACAGTGTGTACATACATGTATATATAATGTGTGTGTGTGTATATATATATACATACATAAATATATATATACATACATACATATATATATATATATATATATATATATA